GCACGCTACAAGCTGCATCGTCTGTCAAGGGAGAAAGGATTACCCTGCCTCTCTTGGGGAGACTCGTGCCCATGTTGTGTGAACAACTCTGCACGAGCACCTAAGGAGGCTTACCTCCTTACCAGCCCGTGGTGGCGCGTACGTGTCTCTACTGAGATGTACGAAGGGATTGACAACCTGAAATCCCTTTACGACCGTGCCAGGAAGACTTTCTCCGGCGGTCCTTCTGCGGCACAGGATGTGCCGCGTCGTACTGCTCAACCAGACCCAGTACGTCGATCATCAGTTGGGAGCGGGGCTCCCAGGAATCCCAGGACGGGGGATAGCCGCGCCACCGGACGAGATAACTCGTCCGACGTCCGTTCACGTCGCGGTGGTTCAACAGCTGCTCAACTAGATAGCGCTGGCGACCGCGAGAGTCCTCTAATGGAGGTGGAGGAGGAGGAAAGACGCTCTCCACACGATCATGTGGATCGGTGTGTTCCCGAGAGCTTCTTTGATCGCGTAACGCAAGGGTTACGCAACGATCTCGAACATGAGCGGAATAGGCGTCTCCAAATGGCGGACACTGTCTCGAAGCATCGAGCTGAGTTTGCCTTTGCTCAGCTTGAGAACGAGAGATCTCTGACATCTCTTCGTGACGAGCTAAGGGTAGCTCGTGGGATTGTTGATCGGTCTCGGGCTGAGATAACTGTTCTTCAGACCCTTGTCGATGCCCACCATCGGGAGCACAAGGCTCTCTGTGAGATGCTGAGCGCAAGAGCGTTCTTCATCGGAAGAAGCAGCGTGCTGATGGTACGGCTTAAGCCGACCAACGTAAAGCGTGGGATGCGTTCGCATCTTACGTGGTAACTCGATCGTGTATGCATTGCCTAGGCGGTGCAATACACGAAATGGGCCAATGTACTTGGGTAGTAGTTTACTGCTACCCAAGTTAGTCACTACATGCTTTGGTAGATTAACCGTAGACAGTAGGACTAAGTCACCTTTATTAAATAAAAGAGTGTTTGCCCTTCCATTCTTGTCGGCGTTTTGCTTTTGCTTATCCACCGCTTCGGCGATGGAGTCTTGCACAAAACGGACTACCGTTTCACGAGCCAGTATGAACTCATCTGATGACTCGTTAGCTTCAGTGTGCTGTGAGCGCACTGCAGCAACATCAACCTTTTCTTCAGTGAGGGCTTCCGCACTCTCACTGGCATCATCTTCTTCGATATCGATGTTATCGATATCGGCATCAAACGCACTGACCTCATCGTCAGAGAGTGATGAGCGTGAACCAAATCGGTTTTTGCTCGCGCGAGTCCCTCTCCCCCTTAAACCAGAGTTACACTCTAGTAAGGTGGGTACACGCGGATGGCGCAAGTCATTCACGTAAAACGGTGTATGTGTCGTGGACGCATGCACCGAGTTGTTGATGGCAAACTCTACCATTGGCAAAAACTCACTCCAACTCTTAAAGGAGTGTACGTATCCTCGAAGTATCTCTTCAAGGACACGATTGGCACGTTCCGTCTGACCATCTGACTCTGGATGATCAGATGTTGACATCTTCAAGCGCGTTCCGAGTGATTTGAACACGGAACGCCAGAAATCAGCAGTGAATCGTGGATCTCTGTCTGATACGAGTTCACGGGGCAACCCATGAAGTCGGAAGATGGTGTCAATAAAGACACAAGCACAGCCACTTGCCGTGATTGTCTCTGGTACAGCCACAAGGTGTACCATTTTGCTGAATCTGTCAACAAATACGAGAATACCCGTATTACCGCGTGCGTCTTTGGGTAACCCGAAGACAAAATCCATTGAGATGGATTCCCAGCACTCAGCCGGAACCGGTAGAGGCTGTAAAGGTGCACGCAGTGAAGGACTTGACTTCACTCGTTGACAGACTTCGCATGCGCGAACATACTTCCGCACAAACTGATACTGGCGGGGCCAGTAAAAGTCTCGACTTACCGTGAGATATGTTTTCTCTCGGCCACGATTTCCTCCTATAGGAGCCTCGTGATACTCGAACATGATCCGCAAACGCAGATCAGTATCATCTGGAATGAAAACACGTGGTGTGTCACCAGAAACGGCTGTATAATACAGTAAACCGTTACGAGAAGTGTATCGATCTGATGCAGATCGATACGCAGGCGACAATCGTTTCAACGATTCTCGAGATGGCTGTGAGAGATGTGTCAACAACTTCACAATCTCACCATCTTGGGCGTATGACCGCCTCACATCATCATACAACGTTGTAGATGGGACTGAGGACGTCATAACCGCAACAGTGACTGTCTCACTGTTGGGTTTCACGACTGGTTCAAAGTCGGGACGACGTGAGAGTGCATCAGCGACGACATTAAGTCGTCCTGGTTTGTACTCGACCGTAAAGTTGTATTCCGCAAAGAATGACAACCACCGCGCCATTCGTTGTGAAAGGTGCGGGCTGTTCACTGCCGTGCGTAAGGACGCATGGTCAGTGTAAACAATGAAGGGTCTATCTCCTAATAGATAGACTCTGAACTTCGCGAGTGCATACTTCATGGCACGGAGTTTCTTGTCATGCACTGGATAGTTCCGCTCAGCTGGTTGCAGCTGACGCGACTGATAGCAGACGACGCGTTCAACGCCTTCAAGATCGTACTGCATTAATGCACAGCCGATTGCGAAATCGCTGGCATCACAGACCACATGAAATGGCCTGTCCTGATCGGCTATTGCTAGGACTGGGGATTGTATCAAGCTCTGCTTGATACCCTCAAAGGAGCGTTGACATTCAGCGTTCCATAACCACCTCTCGTTCTTTTTCAACAAACGAGAGAGGTGTACAGTCATCTCGGCGTAATTGCGTGAATACTTATGCAAATACGCCGCTAGCCCAAGGAATTTTCGAAGACCTTTGACATCGACCGGCACGGGCCAGTCGGTGATCGCCTTGATCTTTTCGGGATCAGGACGTACACCGTTCTTACCAACGATGCACCCAAGAAGTGGTATTTCGCTTGCTGCAAATATACGCTTCTTGAGGTTTGCATACAATTGATGCTTTCGCATGATTGTAAGAACCTGTCGGACGTGGTTTCTGTGAACCTCAACATTCGAATTTCCATCCATAGCTCGACTATGGATGAATACGTAATCGAAATAACTCGGCGCGAATTCTCGTACTGGCCTCAACAGATGTGATACACATCTGTTGAACGTGGCAGAGGCATTACTAATCCCTTGTGGCATTACTAGCCATTCCCAGAGCATGCCGCTAGGCGTGCTAACTGCGGTATAGGGTATATCCCGTTCCCGCATTAGGATTTGATAGAAGCCATCCATCAAATCCATGGACGAAAAGATGGTACTCTTTGACATACCATCAATGATTACGTCCTTCCTCGGTATCGGCGTCTGAGCCGGTACCGTTGCAGCGTTCAATTTGTTAAACGCGTGCACTATCCGCCACCCTCCTGTTGCTTTTCGCACACAGAAGGTCGGAGAGCTATGTGGGGAAGTTGATTCCCTCACATGGCCCGCTGCTAAACGATCGGCAAAGAACTTGTCGATCGCAAGTACTTGTTCACGAGGCAGTGTCCACTGCTTCATGACACAGTACTTCGAGCCTGGTTTAAGCTCGACCTCGTGTCGAATACCTTTATCCTTCGGTAATTCGCACGAAACAGTTTCAGGGAATACATCCTTGAATTCGACCAAATCTTCATAGAGAGGATTTTTCTTGAGCGATTCCCACGATTGGGAGTCATATCGCTCAATTCGTGTCTTTCATCTAGGACACTCTCGTCCATAGATGAACTACTGAGAACTCTCTCGTTCTCAGTAAACATTGTTGCTGATCTTATGTCGGTTACACACTCGTCGTCAGCGACGAGTACGCAGATCTGCTTGACTTTGCCACTACGCAGATCACGCAAGAACCTTTTATGTTCGAGCGTTGGCAACTGAGTGATCTCCGAAGTTAACTTCGGAGGCGCAATCAGATCAAGTGTATAAGCGCCTACACTTGATCCGTTATTGACTATGACATTCAATGTCTCTGTCATTTCCTGGGGACTTATTCCCTCAGGCTTCGAAGGACTTATTCCTTCGGCTTCCCAAAGGCCTCATTCCCGCGGGTTTCGGGGAACTTCTTTCCGCCGTATTTGTAATATCGGGACTTATTCCCTTTACTCCCTCTAGCTGGGGTTGCGCAACCACAGCGAGATCCTCTACGAAAGACTCTCCAGTCGATCTAGGATTATCGTTTCGCTTAACCTGAGCGATCGATTGTTTCTCTTCTAGATGTTCCCCGCTAGGGATACATCTTTGTCCCGGTCCACCCGACTTATTCGAGTGGTGGACCTTCGGCGCAGCCTGTGTTTCCTCACAGCCGCCGGAACTTTGCTCCGAAGTGTAACCGTTTGGTACACTAAGGTTTTGTGCAGTCGTACTGACGACCGTACCACAAGTGAGGCCATCGCACTCACTCGTAGTACATCCACACGCTTGTGGACGCTCCAAAACGTTCATCAGATGGCCATCTGATGAACAAGCGGCAGGCATCGTTACTGTTCGATGTTGCCAGTTTACCCGTGGTTCGTACCTTCTGAGCCACGGTATTCCAAGGATGACATCAAATTTGTCATCCAAATCCAATACGATAAAGTCATCATCATATTGGGTATCTTCTAGCGTATAGTGGATCTTCACTATACGCTTCATGACGGTTACGGATGCGCCTGTCGCAAGACGTACCGTCATCCTCGTAGGAGGTGTGTCACACTCACTGAATTTAAAGTGACCATCTTCTAGCGATTGGCGTCGCACAAAATTGTTGGACGCCCCACAATCGACTAGCGCTCGAAGGGACAACTTATTCGTCACTTCGAGTTTCAAGGTAATGAGTGAGATCTCATTACCTAGAGCAGCAACGCACAACGTTTGTGTGTTGGGAGCAACCTTCATCAAGAGGCCTACAAATTCTCTTGACGTTGCTGGACCAGTAGGGTGCTCCGCACCTACTGATCCTGTCCGTTTTTTGACGGTCCATCCCGTTGTTGCGTCTTTGCACCAACAGCGGACCCGCGTCCCTGTCCCTTTCTCATGGGTGGACGGTCACTACGCCCAGTGTTGCGAGACACTGGACGAGGGGCACTACACTCGTAAGCGTAGTGTCCTGTCTTCTGACATCTGTTGCATTTCTGCAACTTCTTGTAGTCTGTAGAGCGAGCCTTCTCGCTCTCTACATAACAGAGTTCCATCGGCTCTGGACCTCCGTTGTCATATCGTCTCGGTTGACGATATGATGTCGAGCTGGCGCGAGCCTGTCTCAGACTGAAGTCTTCCTGCTCCGCAATGGAAATGGCTTGTTCTAGTGAATCTAGTTCAAGCCGGAACAGGTGAGTCTTGACGGGACCATCCGCAAGACCCTGCATGAACACCGAAACCAACGTGTGTTCATCCACCGGATTGGAACTTATACAACTCGTGAGATGTCGTATATGTTGAGCGTGAGCGTGCACATCACGCTTACCCTGCTTGAGCTTCAAGAGTTCGGTTCGAGCTCTGAACTCAGCTCTAGGCGGTTCAAACGTTTGTCTGAGCCGCGACTTGAAGACTTTCAACGACCCAAACGCATATGGGTCGTGCAACTTGAGCCCCAGTGCCCAAGTCTTGGCACGTCCTGCCAGATTTGACTGGGCAAATGCAACTTGCATATCCCCGTCGTCGATGCGACGCGCCCTTATGGCGTCATCCAATTCGACGAACCATCTCAACAGGGAGTCCTCTTCGACTCCCCTATACTTGGAGATGTCAATCTTCAAGGTTTCGGGTCGACGCGAGTGCATCGACCCACCAGCAGCAGCACCTGCTGCTGTCTCAACAGTTCAAACTGTTGAGCACCCTGTTCTCTCAACAACTCTGCTTGTTGAGAACCTTGTTGGTGAAGCAAGGCTACTTTCTCGCGTTCAGCGTCAAGTTCATTTTGAATGAACTTGGCGATAGTAGCATGTTGGGCATCTCTATTGAGAGCCTCTAGCATGACGCTAACAGCATGGATGCCCATGGTTGAACCCATCCGTTCAACCGCATCCCATTCGACATCGCTCAAATGGGAGTAGCCGTCACGCGTAGCGTGAAAGCTTTGGTCATCTTCATCGTCCACATATTCATGTTAGATGTGAACGTGGTCCTTGGACGGACTACGAAGTGCTACCAGGTGTAACGGGGCACCCTGAAGCTTGTACTGGTAACAGTACAAGCTACTTATTCTGATGACAGAATAAGGCGGTGCCTCGGAACTTCACGTACACTCGTACGTGCAGAGGAAGACGGTAAGAAGAAGCGAGTACTCGGTTAGAGTAAAAAGTAGAACTGTATTTGTAATAGTTAATGTCTGCAAGAAATCACTATTTATCTTCATCTAACTATTTCTAAATACAAATGTGTAAATCAATTTTGCCCACCACTCATTGCGTGCGTCTGTCGTGGCGCGTCTTCGTTGGTTGATATAATGGCCTATATCAACCAATTAGGAACTACTTGGAAGTGCTACAGAATATTTGTCCTTATGACAATATTCTGAGAATATAACTCTTATAGTTATATTCTATTAACAATTTCTTATAACTTATTATATAACGATTCACCCCGTAAAACGATAGCTGTGGAAGCGGTAAAAGAAGGTACGAAAGGTGACATTTTCGTAGAATTAGTAATACGTGGTGACCAGGGCCGTTGAGCAGCACTTGGCGACGCGTTGTGCAGTCGCTTGTTTGTTTGGATCTTGTACAATGCTTACGTAGAAGCTGTTTGCATTTCCCACCCTACTTTAAGGAAGGATACCAATTATATCCCCTCATTTTCGTTTGAAACTTCTCCAGTTGGAGATAAAGTTTCACAATTGGCTGATTATGAGCTATCGACAGCGATAACGATGTCACTATCAACTGTTTCTAAACCTCATTTAATTATCATGTAAATTTGCTTTTGTTTGCGGACTTAGTGCTTCGGTCTACTGGTACGCGCAACTGCGCACTTCAATGCGAAAATTTACGCATACCGTTAGCGAGCTACCCTATCGCTGTCATAGAAAACATTTTATGCCCGTAATTAAAAAGACGGTGTTTTTATTTGTAAACAAAGATGTTTGCTCGCGTGACGTTTACGCGAGTCGTGTGATATTAATTTGTCGTGCGGGATTACATGCATAGATTTTCAAATTCTTTTGCTGTTCGCAATCGTGTCATCACGCAATATAAGCCCGACCTGTAAGAAGCAAAATTAATGAAGCTCGGGTTGCACGAGGTGACCTTGGAAAGTCGCCGATGCCAAAACGGATGCCTTTTGCAACACGAACAGGATGAGGGACCCGACAGGCGGAGCGTTTTCTTGCGCCGGACGTCGTTCCTAGTACTACCAATCAAGCCGAAAAGGGCAACGAAAGACTCCAGGATTGCATGATTAAGAGTCAATTGCAGTGATGCATGAACGATACCGCCTTATAGATGAGGAGGTTGTACCTTTCCGAATCAGACAAGCGTAAACATTTTTTTGAAACTGAGTGTTTGTTTGTACGTGTTCAGCCTCTTTAAATTATACAACATCACGCATTGTGCCTAACCTCACGCAACGGCCGTATCTTGTTTGCAAATTCTAAAGCATTCATTTTTTCCGGCGATGCAGACGTTTGATTACTTTGACACATGGCCTCTCCCTCACAAACTTACACATCAGAAATTAGGACATCGCTAGCGGTCGCTGGATGACTGACAACATTGTCCAACAGCCGCCGTTACTTCTACAAAAAGGTTTTGTTTTATGTATTATGACCAAGGGAGGGATTCGGAGCAGATGATAGTGATCATGTTCCATCTCTTGGTAAATCTATCCACCAAGCATGTATTTTAATCTCAACTGATGAGATTAACCGATTAAACAGATGGTAATCAAGTGGAAGCCATAGGATTCAAAAATCAGAATTACACTACGTTGTGTATCTTATATTGCGTTGTGACTTCTGGCGGCTGGGTGCACCCGATACAATGTTTCTGGTACTAGAACACCAATAAAATGTTAATTTGAGTACGTCGTGAGATAGTAGCGACTTGTTGCACATGAGCTCGCTACTGCTACACATTGATACATAGGTGTGCTACCCTGATGCGTTACCTCATAGGAGCCGTTTTTCAGCCCACACCAGATAGTATATCTGTAACGGGGCACCCTGAAGCTTGTACTGGTGACAGTACAAGCTACTTATTCTGATAACAGAATAAGGCGGTGCCTCGTAACTTCACGTACACTCGTACGTGCAGAGGAAGACGGTAAGAAGAAGCGAGTACTCGGTTAGAGTAAAAAGTAGAACTGTATTTATAATAGTTAATGTCTGCAATAAATCACTATTTATCTTCATCTAACTATGTCTAAATACAAATGTGTAAATCAGTTATCTGCTCACCACTCATTGCGTGCGTCTGTCGTGGCGCGTCTTCGTTGGTTGATATAATGGCCTATATCAACCAATTAGGAACTACTTGGAAGTGCTACAGAATATTGTCCTTATGACAATATTCTGAGAATATAACTCTTATAGTTATATTCTATTAACAATTTCTTATAAATTGTTATGTAACGATTCACCCCGTTACATCACCCCCCTTAACCATCAGTCACTTTAGTGACTGATTGACTAAATGGATACTCGTCCCAAATCATTTGGGACGGGGTTTGCACTTGTTGGTCCGCGTCCACTTTCCAACATTTCATCGCATGGTAAACAAGCCCATGCGATGCGCGAGCAAGGCCGCCGAGAGCGCGTCTGCACGTCTCTGTGCGGACGCCGAAGCAGAAACTACAGCAACTGATGTCCCATCGGTTGCTGAATCGACTCAGCCTGTATCACCTGGTGATGCAGGCGCTGGTCATGAAGACACTCGTGTCTTCACAGAGTACGAGCTCGGTGTCTCGTACTCTCCTGATACGGATGACGGATCCATATCGACGGCAATTGAATCCAAGCCGCCTGCCAAGCGTGGCATGGACGATGCTTTGCGTCGCAGCATCTTTGGTTCATCTGATGAGTCAGATGAACCATCGCCGAAGCGAAGGCGCTCGAGGTCGCGAGACTCGGGCGCTAACAGTGGTGTCGTTTCTCCAATGGACACCACTTCACAGCGAGGTGCCAGTACTTCTGTCGGCACGTCGCAGGAAGAGCGGGACCGCAATGTCTTGCGTCTCGCTCCAGAAAAGAAGGCATGGATGCCTCCTAAATCTGTCATGGATCACTTGTCGGCGACGACGAGTGATCGTTATCGAACACGATTGTTCGATTCGTCGAGGATTCATCACCTTGACCCCAGCGCGAAAGACTATCGCGCTGAACATGAGTTCTTCATCGATGCTTTCTTCAGACATCGATGGTACAGTGGGAATCACAAACGTGATGGTCCCTCACTACTTCAGGCGTGGAACGCCTACATCCATAATCTCGAGGATGTAGGTCGTGACGCTTGGAACGACAAACTTATCAAAGCTCGTGATAAGTTTGAAAAGCGAACCCCGACAGGTGCACGCTATAAGCTGCATCGTCTGTCAAGGGAGAAAGGATTACCCTGCCTCTCTTGGGGAGACTCGTGCCCATGTTGTGTGAACAACTCTGCACGAGCACCTAAGGAGGCTTACCTCCTTACCAGCCCGTGGTGGCGCGTACGTGTCTCTACTGAGATGTACGAAGGGATTGACAACCTGAAATCCCTTTACGACCGTGCCGGGAAGACTTTCTCCGGCGGTCCTTCTGCGGCACAGGATGTGTCGCGTCGTACTGCTCGACCAGACCCAGTACGTCAACCATCAATTGGGAGCGGGGCTCCCAAGAATCCCAGGACGGGGGATAGCCGCGCCACCGGACGAGGTAACTCGTCCGACGTCCGTTCACGTCGCGGTTGTTCAACAGCTGCTCTACTAGATAGCGCTGGCCACCGCGAGAGTCCTCTAATGGAGGTGGAGGAGGAGGAAAGACGCTCTCCACACGATCATGTGGATCGGTGTGTTCCCGAGAGCTTCTTTGATCGCGTAACGCAAGGGTTACGCGACGATCTCGAGCATGAGCGGAATAGGCGTCTCCAGATGGTGGACACTGCCTCGAAGCATCGAGCTGAGTTTGCCTTTGCTCAGCTTGAGAACGAGAGATCTCTGACATCTCTTCGTGACGAGCTAAGGGTAGCTCGTGGGATTGTTGATCGGTCTCGGGCTGAGATAACTGCTCTTCAGACCCTTGTTGATGCCCACCATCGGGAGCACAAGGCTCTCTGTGAGATGCTTGAGCGCAAGTGCGTTCTTCATCGGAAGAAGCAGCGTACTGATGGTACGGCTTAAGCCGACCAACGTAAAACGTGGGATGCGTTCGCATCTTACGTGGTAACTCGATCGTGTATGCATTGCCTAGGCGGTGCAATACACGAAATGGGCCAATGTACTTGGGTAGTAGTTTACTGCTACCCAAGTTAGTCACTACATGTTTTGGTAGATTAACCGTAGACAGTAGGACTAAGTCACCTTTATTAAATAAAAGAGTGTTTGCCCTTCCATTCTTGTCAGCGTTTTGCTTTTGCTTATCCACCGCTTCGGCGATGGAGTCTTGCACAAAACGGACTACCGTTTTACGAGCCAGTATGAACTCATCTGATGACTCGTTAGCTTCAGTGTGCTGTGAGCGCACTGCAGCGACAACAACCTTTTCTTCAGTGAGGGCTTCCGCACTCTCACTGGGATCATTGTCTTCAGTGAGGGCTTCCGCACTCTCACTGGCATCATCTTCTTCGATATCGATGTTATCGATATCGGCATC